GATTCAAACATGACTCATAATGACCCTATGAAAAAAAGGCCTGAAGCCTTTCTCTAACTATCATCATTTATCAAAGTTCATAGAGTTTTCAGAGGCATGTTGTTTAGGAAGTGGATGTCACTCCTGCTTCCAAAATTGTTTCTGTTGTTATGGGCCGTAAAGTCACCTGCAACTCACAGAGAGCCTATGTAGAACAGCCCTAAACCTTTCTCTATCCTGTGCCAGTGTTATTGTCCCTGGACACATCCACCCTCATTACCTCAGTCATTGAATCAATTCATCTAATTGAGGCTTTTCCTCTACTATGCTGTTCCTCCACCCTCCCAAGCATGACGTCCCTCTCCAAGGACCAGTCCCTCCTTACAGCATGTCCAAAGTATGTCAGATGAAGCTTCAGAATCTTTGCCTCCAAGCAGCAGCCTGGTCTCACCCTCTTCAGAAAGAACCTGTTCATTCTTTTAGCAGTCCAGGGTATGTTCAATACTCTTCTCCAACCCCACAGCTCAAAGGCATCAATTCTCCTTCTATCATCCCTAGTCTTTGTCCAGCTTTTTGACGTAAAGCAAGTAATTTCAGAGACCATGGCCTAGATCAGGCACATCTTAGTCTCCAGATTGATATCATTGTTTTTCAGTACTTGGAGAGTTCTCTGAAAGCAGACTTTCCCAATGTAATATGTCTTTTAATTTCCTAGCTGCTGGTGCCAAGAGTATGGATTGTGGAGCCAAGCAAACTAAAGCTGTTTATAATCTCAGTCTCTTCACCATTTATCCTGATGTTGCCCATCGGCCCCGTAATAAGAATCTTTGTTTTCTTGATGTTGAGCTTCAGTCCATATTGGAGGCTGCAGTCCTTGACCTTGCAGCAAGCACTTCAGGTCTTCCTCAGTTTCAGCAAGCAGGGTTATGTCATCTGCATAATGCAGATTGTTGATGAATCTTCCTCCAGTCCTGATGCCGCATTCCTCCTCATGGATAGTCTGTTCTGCATAAAGATTGAAAATATATGGAGACAGGACACATCCTTGACACATACCCTTCCCAATTTTGAACCATGCAGTGTTTCTTTTCTCTATTTTGACGACTGCCTCCTGGTCCGAGTATAGGTTTTGCATAAGCACAGTCAAGTGTTCTGGGATTCCCATTCTTCTCAGAGTTAGTCACAGTTTGTTGTGGTCCACAGTCAAAGGCCTTTGCATAATCATTGAAACACAGATAGACTTTCCTCTCTGCTTTCAGCCAAGATCAATCTAACATGATCTATAATATCCCTAGTATCACAACCTCTTCTAAATCCAGCGTGCACTTCTGGCAGTTTTCTGTTGATGTGCTGTTTCACTTGTTTTTGAATAATCTTCAGCAGAATCTTGTTTGCATGTGATATAATGATATTGCTTGATAATTCCCACACTAGGAACATTAAAAATTTTATTTTATTGCTATGATGTTATTTATAATTAAGAAAAAAAAGTTATAAAATTAAACCTCAGTAACAGAGCAAGGTGAGACTCAGAAATTGAGCTTTTTTTGATAAAAAAAGTTTGCTGGTTTATTCCTCCTATAAAGCAAGTGAGACTCAGAATTTGGGGGGTGTTGTTCTTGTTTTGTTTATCTAAAATAAATTTGGGCCCTCAGGTCTATAGCCCTTGGCCCTTGTGTGAAACACCAGTCTCGAAATTTCATAGACTTCTGTGTGACCTTAATATCTATATCAGGGGCATCACTCAGGCATGCCAGTCATGAGTCTCAGCTAGAATACCCTCCCAGGAGTACATCCTGCCACATCTATGTGGGATTCAGCTACTTCTAGTAACAGGATATCCATATGCCTGATTTACTACTAGAGGTACAACATTAATTTGTCAGTTTTTGTTATTGGGGAATTAATCTTTTCTAATTAGCACAGCACTATTTGTCAATTTGCTTTACTTAGGTAATGTGTGAGTTGCTGTGATGTTGAAGGCTTTTCCACCAGTGTATTACATGTCACTAGGGTCACACACAGTGGACAGGTTTTAGCAGAGCTCCTAGATTAAGGCAGACTAGGAAGCAGGATTGGCCATCCACTTCTTAAATAGCATTCCTCTGAAAACCCTTTGTACTGCCAAAAGGACAAAAAATAAGCTTTGGAGAAAGTTCAATCAGAGTGCTCCTTGGAGGAAAGGATCATAAAGCTTCACTTTACATACTTTAGGTATGTTCCTTGAAGAGGAACATCATGCCTGGGAAGGTGGAGGGTCTGAAAAAGAAAGGAATATTATCACCAGATGGATAGGCACAGCTATTGCTGCAATGGGCTCTAGTGTGTCAGAAATGGTGGGGATGGCACAAGATAGGACAGCATTCAAATATGTTGTTCAATGGGTCACTGAATCATACTCCACTCAATAGCCCTTAACAACAACAGGGCAAGGAAACATTGCATGGTTTAAATCAAGAAAAATACATCAGGGATGTATCCTTTCTCCATATCATTTCAAACTAAATACAGAACAGATTATTCTGGAGGCCAGATTTTATTAAGAGTAGTGTTTCATCAGGACTGGGGAAGACTCATCAAAAACCTGTGTTATGCAGATGACACAACCTTGCTCGTCGAAACCGAGGGGGACTTGAAATGTTTGCTGAAGAATGTTAAGGACTGAAGTCTTCAATATGGACTGCATTTCAACATTAAGAAAACAGAAATTGTTGCCACTGAGTCAGTAGACAGCATTGGGACAGATGGAGAAGAGACAGAGGTTGTTAATTTCAGCTTGGTCAGATCCATGTTTAACACTTTTGGAACTAGCAGTCAAGAAATCAACAGACAAGTTGCTTTGGGGAAGTCTGCTGTCAGGGAGAACTCCAGAGTACTAATGAGCAATGTTGTCCGTCTAGAGACTAAAGTGTACCTGATATAGGCCATGGTCCTCTCAATTACTTTCTATACATCTGAGAGTTGGACAACGGCTAACAATGATAGAAGAATCATCGATGTCTTTGAGTTGTGGTGCTGGAGAGAATATTGAGTAGTCCATGAACCACCAAAAAGAAAAGCTAATCTGTCTATGAGGAATTGCAGCCAGGGAGCTCTTTAGAGGAGGTCTAAAGAGATGGTCTAGAGGTGATCTATGTGGACATATTTTCAGGAAGGATCAGTCCTTGGAAAATGACATCAGGCTTGGAAAAGTAGAGGATCAGTGAAGGAGAGGAAGAACCTCAATAAGATGGATTAATACAGCATCTGCAACATTGGTTTTAAGCATAGTAGAGATTGTGAAGGTGGCACAGAATTAGACAAAATTTCTGTCTATTGTACACAGTGTCAGTGTGAGTTGTTGTGTACTGGACAACACAAAAAATAATGACATTTGCTTAGCATAATGGCCTTGAGCGTTGCAAAGTAGAACTGTGTTCTGTGAAGTTTTAAAGACTGCGATCTTGGGAGACAGATCTCTAGGACTTTCTTCCCAAGTGCCTCCAAATGGTTAAAAATGCCTGCATTTTGGTTAGTAGCTATCTGGAACCCCAAGGAAATAAATGACAAATGATTTGTGTGTGCTTAACATTATGGCATTGTACAAGGTAACACAAAATGTCTAACACTTGCTTTATCTCACAAGCATGAAGTAATTAAATACTTGTAAGTCACAAGCCATTAAATGGATTCAGAGTGTAATGAGGTTGTTGGTTCCTTAAAGTGCCAGCAAAGTGTAAAAGCCGTGAAAATTCTTAGAGTAAAAATTTGACCTTAATTTTAAAGGTTAGGCTCACTAGAGAAGAATAGGGAGATAATTTTACATTATTGTTATTTTTATGTTTAACACAATTTACAGTTGAAAAGGGAATTTATGATGTATAAAAGAAAATATGAATTGATTCAGACAGACCTGGATTCAAATCCCCAACTCCACCATTCACACACTGCAAATCATGTAAACTGCTGCACACTCAGTTTGCCCATGTTCATAATACAGAGAAGAGTTGTGCAAAGGAAATAAAATCACAACGTTGGCCATATGTTCTAAACTCTAGAGGATGTCGCACTCTCATTTCCATACTGCCTTTCAAAGTCAGGGCTTCAGAAAAGTATGATGGCTGAGACCAACTGGGACAACTGTGGGAAGAAGTCAACCCAGCAACAGATATAATGGAGAAAAGACAGAAGTTTGTGTTACAGTTTTTTCCTTTCCAGCATCTCCTTTTGGGCTTTATCTCTGAGCTCTGTCCTTCTATTCATTGCCTCTCTTATATCCACCTTGTCACTGGTAGGTTTTATGGACCTTTGACTGCCTGCTGCTTGTTACCACAGGAGAGCCTGTATGGGGAATTGAGTCAGCTCTACTCTAGATAGTCAAGAGAAATGTTCTCTCTTCCTCAGTATTGTCTTAGTTTTGGTGAACCAAGAGTCTTTGAAAGGGATAAAAGCCAGCAATTAGTACAGATAATCTAGAATTTACTGGTTTCAACAAATTCACTGTAGCATAACTCTGCTCTCCAATTGGAGGACAGGGCAAATCCATAATGAGCAATGAACAGATCCTGTAGTTTCCCTGTGGGTTCCTTGTGTCTATCTCCCTCGGGATTCTGAGGTGGCTTAATGAAGAATTAGGGATTCCTGGCTATGACCTGCTTTCTCTATCAGACATATGACTAACAAATATATACAAATCATCTGGCTGGCAGAGGTCTGCTATTAATGTTAATTCCCTTCTCACATCTTCTCTTTCCCAGTCTGCAAAGCTCATCAACAATGTTTTGCAGTCAGTTGCTGGGTTGTTCTTTTGGTCCCATCAAAAACAGTAATTGTGGACTGTAGTTTAAGTCAACATAACCTCTCTCAGTCATTTGGGGAAAACTGTAAAGATGGATGCTGAGAATCTCCTTGAGTTCAACGTACCAGTGAGTGAAACTTGGGTCCACAAGCTCAGGATGTAGACCAGTGACTCCTAGCCCTCTGCTTTGGCCTCCATATGCTTTGGCATTCAATTCCAACTCCCATTCTGCTTTGTTTTACAGTTGTTCAGCACATCAAGCGCCATAATATTGTTCTGAAAAGGGAGCTAGGCGAAGGAGCCTTTGGAAAAGTTTTCCTAGCTGAATGCTATAACCTCTGTCCTGAGCAGGATAAGATCTTGGTGGCAGTAAAGGTAAGAGAAAATGCTAGAATAAATATTTCATTATTTGTGGATATGTTAATGTGTAGAAGTTTTACTTATTTATTTGCTCAGTGGTAAATTTGTTTTAAGTGGCGATTTTTTTAGAACAAATCATGTCTTCTGCAGTTTATGTGCTTAGATTCCTTTAGTTAAATGGCCAATAAGAAAGATATGTGGGTCACATCCAAATTTTAGAAGCAAGTTCCCCTTTGCAAGCTCTGAGCAACATCTCCAGCTCAACTCTGACTATACTTATGGAGGGAGCTCAGTAGGGGTAAATATTACTGAACGAGCTAAACAAGTATTAACCTGGTCAGTTCTGATGCCTTGGGGCCTTTAGGAAGTTTGTGCTAAGCTCAGCTATAATGTCAATCTTCAAGGTTCTGGAGGGTAGAATTGTAAATGTTACTTCCCCTATTTGCTTTTGTTCCATGGAGATCTTCTAATACACCTTACTTGGGTGGGCTATAAGCAGTAACAATAACAACAGCAGAAAGGTCTTTTGGCTTGTCTCTTGTTCAGGGACACCCCTCGTGTGGTATCTGATAAATTCCTTTTGGCCACTAGGGTTGACAGAACATACATACTTATGTTTTTATTTTGTTTTGGTTTTCTTTTAGGGGCTTAAATATTTGGATACTTAAACTTGATTTAGAAATAAATTGCTGTGAATTAAAACAACAACAACTAACCAAAAACCACATCAAAGAATTGAGTACTATATATAAAACACTTAAAAGAGGCATATTTTCATAAAATGATTTGTTCTTGTTGTTGTTAGGTGACATAAAGTCAGCTGTGACTCATAGCAACCCTATGAACAACAGATGGGAAACTTGCTCTTCCTGCATCTTCCTCAATTTCTGATGTGCTCTAGCCCAGAGGCATACTCAGAGTGTCACTCTATTTTGTTAACAGCATTCCCCTCTTTATGTGGAAACATGATGGGTTTGCTGTTTTGGTTTGCTTCCCCCCTTCCCCCTCCCCCAAGGACTAGCAACTTCTGAAAACATGCGCAAACTATGTGGGACAAAATTTTTCTGTCTTTTGTGTCTAAGTAGCACTCTAGCTGCACTTTTCCTGATATAGAACTAGCTTTTCTTTTTTTTTGACAGTCAATAGGGATATACATTGTATAACACACAATTCGAAAGCATCAATTCTTCTTCTGACATCTTTATTCTTTGTCCGACTTTCAGATGCATAGGAAGTAATTGAAAATTCCATGATTTAGGTCAGGCCCACCTTAGTCTTTAAACTGACATCTGTGCTGGCTAGCATTTTGGAGAAGTCTTTGATAGCATATTTTTCTTGATACAACAAAAAGTCTTTTGGTTTCTTGATTCCTGTTACAATGGGTGTTGATTGTGGATCCAAGAAAATGAAATTCATTGACAAATCTTTTGTCCATCTATTGTGATGTTGCCTATTGGTCTAATGGTGAGGATTATTGTTTTCTTAATGTTGAGATATAACTCATATTAATGAATCTAGTCTTAGATTTTCTGCAGCAAATAGTTCAAGTCCTGTTTATTTCAACAAGTAAGCTATATCATCTAGATAATTCTTTTTAATAATTCTTCCTCCAATTCTGATGAGACATTCTTCTTCCTATAGTCAAGCTTCCAAGATGATATGCTCAGCATACATGTTGAACAGGTATGAAGAATGTCTATAACCTTGATGCACACTTCTCTTCTTCTGTTTGGACAACAGCGTCTTGGTCTATATGTTCACATGAACACAATTAAGTATTCTGGCGTTCCAATTCTTCTTAATGTTAGCCAGGATGTGCTATGATCCACACAGTCAAATGCCTTTGCTTAGTCAAGAAAACACATATAGAAATTCTTCTGGGTTTCTCTGCTTTCAACCAAAACCCCTTAGACATTAGAATTATATCCCTTGTGCCACAGCCTCTTCTGAATCCAGTTTTAATTTTGGACAGTTCCCTATTGATGTAGTGCTCTAGCCATTTTGACAATATAATAGCCAGAAAGATTTAACTTACATGTAATATTAACTATATTTCTTGATAGTTTCAATAGTCTGTTGGATCACCCTTTTTGAGAAGGTGAACAAATCTCTTCCAGTCATTTGACCAGGTTACTGTCTTCCAAATTTCTTGGCATAGTCAAGGAAGTTAGACCAGTGCTGCATTTGTTTGTGGGAACCTGCCAATTGTTATTCCATCTTCTCCTGGTGCCTTTTTTTTCTTTTTTCCTAATTTGAGGTTGTTCACAGCTTTACTTTGCTTGGCTCCACAGGCAACACTCTTGGCACCAGCAGTTAGGAAATAAAAAAAACATATTGTGATAGGAAAGTCTGCTGTTAGGGACCTCTCTAAAGTACTGAAGAGCAATGGTGTCACTTGGGAGACTAAGGTGCATCTGATAAAGTCCATGGTATTTGCAATCACTTGTTATGCATCAGAGAGTTGGACAATGACTAGAGAGGACAGTAGGAGAAATGATACCTCTGAGCTGTGATGCTGGGGAAGAGTGTTTAATGTACCATGGGCTGCTAAGAAAACCAACAGGTTCACCCTGGCGAGGGTTAAGCCACGCTGTTCCTGGAGGCAAGGATTCTGAGGCTTCATCTGACATACTTTCGGCATGTTGTAAGAAGGGACCTGTCTTTGGAGAGGGACATCATGCTTGGGAGGGTGGAAGGATAGCACAGGAGAGGAAGACCCTCTATGAGATGGATTGATTCAGTGGCTGGGGTAATCAGGTGTGTCCAGAGACAGTGTGATTGGCACAGAACAGAGCAGAGTTTAGGGCTGTTGAATATAGGGTCGCTATGCGTTCCAAGTGACTTGATGGCACATAACAACAACAACAAAAACAACAACAACAACAACAACAACAACAATGTTTTCAGTGTACCTTGAATTTTCCCCTTCTTCATTTCCATTCCACTTCATGAATGGTTTCAGTGTTGAACAGGTCTTTTTGGTGCATTGTGTATTCTTTTCATTTCCATTTGATATTTTCTGTAGCATTCAAGAGTTGTGTTCCCATTCCAAAGAAAAGTTATCCAACTGAGTGTGGAAATTATTGAACAATATCATTGATAGCACATGCAAGCAAGATTCTGCTGAAGATTATCCAAAAACGACTGGAACAGCACATCAACAGAGAACTGCCAGAAGTGCAGGCTGGAGTTAGAAGAAGTCGTGGTACTAAGGATATTGTAGTTAATGTTAGATGGATCTTGTCTGAATGCAGGGCGTACCAGGAGAGTGTCTATCTGTGTTTCATTGATTATGCAAAGATGTTTGTGTAGATTACAACAAACTGTGACTGACTCTGAGAAGAATGGGAATCCCAGAACATTTGATTGTGCTAATGCAAAATCTATACTTGAACCAGGAGGCAGTTGTCAGAGCAAATCAAGGAAACACTGCTGATGTGTCCTATGTCCATACCTTTTCAGCCTATATGCAGAACAGATTATCTGGAAGGCTGAGCTGTATGAGGAGAAGTGTGGCATCAGGATTGGAGGAAGATTCATAAACAATCTTGTTTATGTAGATGACACAACTCTACTTGCTGAAACTGAGGAGGACCTGAAGCACTTGCTGCACAAGGTCAAGGACCGTAGCCTTCAATATAGATTGAGGCTCAATGTCAAGAAGACAAAGATTCTTACCACTGGGCCAATTGGCAGCATCAGGATCAATGTGAAGAGATTGATATTGTTCACAGCTTTAGCTGGCTTGGTTCCACAGTCAACACTCTTGCAACCAACATCTAGGAAATTAAAAGATATATTGTGATGTGAAAGTCTGCTATGAGTGACCTGTCCAAAGTACTGAAGAGCAATGATGTCAGGCTGGAGACTAAGGTGTGCCTGACCCAGGCTGTGGTCTTTGCAATTGAGTGCTATGCATCGGAGAGTTGGACAATGAATAGGGATGGTAGAAAGAGAATTGATGCTTTTGAGCTGTGGTGCTGGAGAAGAGTGTTGAATATACCATGAACTGCTAGGAGAACAAACAGGTTTGTCCTGGAGAGGGTGAAGCCAGAATGCTCCTTGTAGTCAAGGATTCTGAAGCTTTGTCTGATATACTTTGGGCATGTTGCAAGGAGGGACTGGTTCTTGGAGAGGGACTTCATGTTTGGGAGAGTGGAGGGATGGTGCAGAAAAAATAGATCCTCGATGAGGTGAATCAATTCAGTAATTGAGGTAGTAGGAGTAAGTGTGTCAGAGACAATGAGGTTGGCACAGGATAGAACAAGGTTTAGGGCTCTTGTACACAGGGTCACTATGGGTTGCAAGCAACTCAATGGCACATAACAACAACAACATCAACATCAATGACAACAAAAAAATTCTTTTTCAGTTACCCTAATTCATTGTCTAACTTTAATATGCATAAGAGGCAACTGAAAATGCAATTACTTTGTCGCAGACCACCTCCTTGGGTTTAATTAAAAATTTGTTGTGAGCAGATTTTCCCAATGCAATGTCTTTTATTTTCAATGTTTTGTATTTTCCCTATTTTGACTTATTTACAAAGGTTGAGTACATTGTTTTTTACAAATGATCATGCCAGTTTCTGTTACCCATCCATCCATCAAATTGCACAACTCTATGATTAACACCCCAACCCCTAGCTCATCCTTACCACTTTGTTTCCACCCTCCCCTACCCCCAATGAATCCTCATACTTATTCTACAATAGTGGTTTTATACAGTATTGTTCCTGTGAGACTGAGTTAGTTCACTCAGCATAATGCTCTCCAGTCTCTCCCTGGTGAGGTAGTAATTTACAAAATCATTGCTTCTGCATTGTATGAATGTACCACAAAGTGGTAGCAACCACAACACCATGGTCCTGGCACAATGTTAGGCACATAGACCAGTGAAACAGAATTGAGAATCCAGAAATAGACCCAGCTATCTATGGTCAACAGATATTCAACAAGAAAATAAAACCTATCAAATGGGGAAATGACAACCTCTTCAACAAATGGTGCTGGCAA